CGTACATAACCCCCCCTCCAAAAAAAACCCACGCCCCACATCATCCAACAGCTACATGTACATGTACATGTAGTATGGGTCCAAGGCATGGTTAAGTGTTGAATAAGCCATTTGAGAGTTAAATTTGAATCAAATCTGGTACACTGAGTTCTCTCAGTTCATGTGAGCACAACAACTTGAATTCTCCATACTAAAACCACTGTTGCTATACCTCGTGATTCGAGGCAAGCTTTTGCTTAGTTACATAAGAGACGCCTTGCGACAATACACTGTTCTCAATGGATAAGAACGGCACCAAGGAACCAGTCTGTTTCAGAGATGGTGGTCGCTATGCAATACATGTAGCTTGCCCTGAGGCATAGCAACCGTGTCTTTAGTCTGGGGAGTTCAAATTGTTACGTTTATGTGCAATCAGATAACACAGTGTACCAGATTTTATTTATATTTGCTGTTTGACTTTTCATATCAACCCAGATAGTGTGCCCTCTTTTTCATTCGATATTCATAAGTCCCTCCACGGAATGGTGATGCTCAAGGATTTTTCTCATCTTGTATCAAGGTTTTTTGAAAAAAAAAGTCTATCATACAATATGATGTTAAAAAAAAATTACGTCCGAGACATAAAATATGATTCATGATGAAAATCTAATGCTCAGAGTTGTTAATATTAATTTAATTCCCAGCGGGATATCTCCAAAATAAGTGGCAAAATGAACATCGCGCATGGAATTTTCAAACACAACATGTGACAGCATTTTTAGCATTCTCGAACATCATGCATGTTTTGTCAAAATTCTCAACCGTCATCAAAATTCCGTCAAACATGACGTTTGCAACAAACATTGTACCCATTATAAATTTTTGATGCAGCCAAACTTAAAGATTATTTTCAGTGGTTGAAAGGTGTCAATGTTTGAGCTCTTTTTGTCATGGCTTATATTCTTTTAAAATTAAATTTCTTAGGTAATTTAAAATGCATCAGTCAAAAAATATACTGAATTCTCCTTGTTGTCGAGAAAGGTTTTGAAATCAAGTCCTCTGGTGCAAATACTTTGACGTAAAACTTTAAATGAATTCAACTCCATTTGATGTGCACTGGTAGGCAACCAAATGTCTACCACATGCACAGTATGTCTAATTATCCCCGAATAATCACTTTTATATTTTGACAGTGCTAATTTGTATTTTACAAGTACACGATCCAAGTCACTCTTTTAGAAGTTTTGAAAAATGACATGCGCAGTTGCATTTTGGTCCATTTTATGAAGAAGACTTGTCTTATTCCTTTCTAATACTCACCACTACCAACAAAAAAAGAAATTGGCAGTGGTTTCTTCAGCAGCTTTGGCCCAATCTGGAAAACCACATTTACACAACACGAGACACGATATTGATTAACAAATCCAAGTGTTGATCAAATACACATACACGGTCAGGACAAAAGTGCCATTACATGTAGTGTAGGAATCAGGAAGTTTATGGTGCATTAAATCCCAGCAGGACAAGGGTTAAGGCACTTTTCAACCACTGTTTCTTCCTCAACAAATTCCAGCAGACATCTGGAAATATACATGTAAAGCACTTCCTGAAATATATCTGGTATAAAATGCAACTGGGATCCTATCAAAATCATTGAGGCCGTCTTCTCCTGGTTTTACTTGACACCTGCGAGAGCCCACAGAACTCTTCTTTTCTGTATCAATACGTCTGCCATTCAGATGAAACTAGACATGATGTGGGCTAAGAATGATGGGAGTGGCTTTTGATATCTTGATCGTGCAAGTTGCTTTCAAACTCAGAATTGGCTTTTGGCCAGTTGCCGTTCCCGTTGAGGATGGGTCACATGCGTGGACCGGTACAAACCGTATTCTCTGACATAGATGTACATATATTTTTTTTTAATATAAAGTGTGGATTTCAATCATCCGAAACATTTCTAATATCATTAACGGTGCTTGTACAATGTACCACTCCTTTTTAGAGCAAACCCTAAACACAAACATCTAGAAAGCTGCAACACTTGCTCAAAAACACATACACACAAAAGACCTCTTGTCTCTTATTTTAAATAGATGTACCATAGTTATTTTAAATACATGTACATGTACCTGTACCCTTTATGCCTTGGTGCTGGAAGTACTATACGGACAGTACATGTGCTTAGTATGCACACTTACCTATAGATGAATCTAAATGATGAACACACAAGGCAGCAATTTGTTTGTCACCGCTCACATACTGCATACCGTCACTCCTGCATCATCAGTTTTTCCAGTTGCCTTTATTTTTATCAGGTGACTCATAAACATCAAGGGTTGATGATTCATATGGTGGTCAAGCAAGTTCTGTTTTTTTTTTCTTTATTTCTTTTTTGTACATCTAAAACAGGCCTGGATGGTTTATCCTCCCTCAACACCGAGGGCGCTTGCCTGGGCGTATCCCAACTGAATACAAAAACTAGTCCGTCACTTTCAACGGCGAAATTAAGATCGGTACTTAATGTGGCATTTAAAGGAAGCAGGCAGGGTGCAGTCCACTGAATTCAAGTGACAATTTCTGGCCGGCTCGTTATCATGAAAAGTGCCCCCCACAGTTTCTTTCGCAAAATGGGGAGACTGCACCAAGTTTTGCCAGGATCAATTCCCTACATGTAGTTCCTTGGGTTTCTATCTGAGAGCCAAGTGGATAAAAAATATGGTTTAGAAATGGTCCTTCAAAGCCTGAGCGTGTAAAAGGATGCCACTTGAAATATGGCTGCATGAAGGCTTCAGAAATATCACTTTTCGGGTGGGGGGGATGATTTGTTTTGTGTGAATGACTGAAAATGCAGTTGGTTAACGCACAAAAACTTGAAAAAAACAAATCGAAAGATTATAAGGGCAAGACAACAACAAATTTTGTTTCAGAGACCCTAGCAATGTTGGCTTAACGTATTTTATTGAGCCCTAAAATTTTTTTATTTTACCCTCTATTCAACGGGGCTTGAATTGGTTGACTCTACCGATGTACTCAAGCTCAACTTGTCTTTGTGAATAATACTATGAGTCATATTAATACAAACAAGATCCAAGTGTAATACTTGTTTTGTTTTGTTTTTTGTAAGGGAAAAGAAGCCAGTACTTTTCATATGGGCAACAGTTACAGTTGGGTTTGACATCAAACAGAAATGGCTTATTCAGGAGAGAAATTTTCAATACGGGGCGTTTGAACCTTTTGTTCCAACATCAACAGGTTGGCCGAAATCTGGTTTCTACCCTGTCCCTTCACACACAGAATTTGACCTCCCTTTCCTAATAAATATAGTTCCACTTCTTATCGCATTGCAACTGGAAACAGGGAAATGTAGATACATGCAAATGTAGGAACAAGGCAATGATTTGATACAATTTTTATTTTCTACACTGATTTGGTTAGCAAAGTGCTAACTGGTTACATACATGTATAGGCCTATAAAGGAGGTCAGGTGACTTAGTTTTAAATGAAATGGACATTAAAGGGTGCCACAGCTGCCGGTTGGTAAACTTAAGCACCACAGGAGCATGCTGTTTGTCTCTCTTTATTTCCAGTTGCATATTTTCCAAAAACACTTCTTCCACAAAAAAAAAATGAAGGGCCACTCTCCCAAAGTAGGGTGGGCTTGGAAACAAGAAGAATAACGTGTCTTAACTATCTGACAGCTTTAGCTGGCAAGTACCATGCAGACATGTACCAGGGGTGAGGCTGGAAGAAACTGAAATATCCACAGAGCAATCTCCAGAGGATTGGAGGGCCCCACAGCAGCATGGGGTCTGTGGTATAAATTTTCTTTTGCCCAATTAAAGGCCACCCTTAAAATACCCACTTACACCTGTGGTGGAATGATTTCAAGGGGGGGGGGGCAGTTGTTAGACCCTCGGGCATCAACCATTAATACATGTAGGTTGATCCATTATACCCCACCCAATAATAGGACCTGAAAAAAAGTGAGGGGGAGGCATCCCTGACCCCTCCCCCTTACGCTGTCAGTGCCCTTTACGCATATGTACATTTTGTGTGTATCATATCAACCATATGGTGTAAAAAAACACCTTAATAGTAAACTCAGGTTTTTCCAGATTTTTAATGAGATTATTTGAAAATCCTGAAAAAATTGGGAAAAAACCTGGTGAATAAATCCTGAAATCGGGAAAAATCCCTACAAATCTCATCCCTGATCTAAAAATATAGTACATGCAAACATCAACCACAGAAATGAACCCGAGTCCTGATGTCCAATTTAAATGTGCCCCCAACATCCCCTAGCTACATGTAGTTCACCCACAACAACCAGTCTCTGGACAACTCTCTCACAACAAAACTTGTTCCACATGAGAATTATGCCTTCCACAGAAAAACAAATTTATTTGCTACAAATATTTATCTTTCCTTGGCTATAACAGCAGCATCAATAAGTCAATCAGAGCATGGTAAAGAATTGTAACGCTCAGCGCTTGGCACAGTGAAAATTTATGTGCATGTACAACGTCCATATATCAATACACTGCCACACAAATATTTATTAAAATAAACGACATCTTTACTTACTAAGGTACATGTAATTCCAGAAATTAGGGATCGAAAAGTGTGACATTTTTGTGTCCCTGTTACATCTGACCTTTGTTATTTGACATGGAAATATCAGCGGAATTGATTTCAAACTGTCTGGCAGGTAATGTGCATTAATTCATCACTTTCAGAAATTAGAAAATGTATTCTGAACTGACAAAACCATATGTCAGATGTGACAGGGACACCCAAAAAATGGACCCCTAATTTCTGGAATTACCCACAACTGAATGCTTGAGTATGTAAACAGGTACCTGGTACAATGTATGCTCTGGAAATTCCAACATGATTTGGGTTGCCTACATCATGTACACTGCACTTGAACCAAGTAGTTTTGGGATTCAACTACTGCACTTCCAAGTCCACTAGTTCTGACTACGGCTTGGCTTTTCCTGATGTTGTAGAAAGGCACTTACATGTAGCCTCAGCCATAGTGACAAAACAGCCGAATGGATCGACACAGATGACTGTGTCCATTTCCATTTCAGCAGCAGTCCTCTTTAATATACTTGGGCTTAGAGCTGCTTGCAAAATACATGTACAGCCTTCACTTGCCTTCACAGCTTGGGGCTGTCACCGCAGTGTAGTAAATAATCTTCTCCCAGCACCCCAATGATGTCATCTTTATTGATAGTGATGATGTCATACTTCGGCTGCACAGGTGTCTGCCTTGGAATGTGTTAGTCTCCATTCAAGCCACTAACTGCATGTACACTGTACATGTACATTAACAGTGGACTGTCAACCCTCAAGAAAGACTGTACAGGTAAATGTACATGTACTAGAACGAGGGTAAAGCTGGTCTACATGTGAGACTACTAAGGCATCTGCTTAAGGCACCAGTCTACTGCTTAAGGCACCAGTCTACTGCTTAAGGCACCAGTTCCATAATTTCACGGTGCTGTTGAGGACGGGGACTCTGCATTCCAGATTGGTGTTACTTATTTCTGATCTTGTCACACACAATAGCCCATTATTTACACAATTAGAAACAGGTTCCAGATCTTGTACAAGCATTTGCTTCTTGTCTGGAATGCTCATATCATTTCTGTTATTTTGATATTAAATTGATGTGAATATTTTGTTTAAGATACTGTGCATGTATGGAAATAAATAAACTTAACTACTAGTAAACTTAACGAAAATAAAAAAATTACAATGAGATGCCAAAACTGTTATTTTGAAGGCCCTCTAGGTTTTTTTGAGGCCTTCCAATTATTAAGGGGCCCAAGGTGCCATCCCTACATACCCTTACATGTACATAATCCGGCACTGGACTGCAGTGAACAGTATGATTACAAAAAGGACACATTTGCTTCGATGGTGAAGAGTTCACTTCATATTCAAACCAAAGTGTTGAATCTACCTTATTAAAATGTGTACACGTACAGTCAGTGACAACACTTTCAAAAAAGTTCAATGCTGCATTTAAGCATTAAATCTATCACTTTAAGCATCTACTGGTACCCTAGTATAGGGGCCTACATGTGATCAACCTGGGCTGTAAGGCATACATTTTGCAAATGACCTCACGTGAACTCACCTGACCTTTCAATTCGTGTTATGAACATTTCACTCCCTACAAAGGCACAACCCTGATTTGTACATATATGCACACTACACACATATCCAATTCCAGGTTTTATATTTCAGGGACAAGCCTTGAATGAAGACTAGCAAGCAAATAAAGCCATGAGAACAAGGGGGTGATGTCACACTTATTTATGGAAGGAACACTCTCTCGGGCTTGGGAATATTTGAGTAATAATAATTACATGTAACACACTGTACTGGATTTGTCTGAGAGACAACTTAAGGAATTGAACACAGGTTAATGGCCAACTCCTATCACTCTGGTAACTTCTTAGTACACATCTGCATGCATGTGTGACATGTGGTTAAGTAAATACCCAGTACCTATTTCAACACTTAAGTGACACTTCCTATTTCCGTAATTCAAGCCTTTTCCATACCCTCAATCTTTTTTGAAGCTCATGTACATGCACAAACCCACTACCATAAATCACAATCATTTGCTTACTTCCTTTCCAATCAGATGTGGTTTGACCACAAATTAACACCCTACCCTACCTCTGAGAAATATTCATTTCCTGTACTGACATTGGCCCACTGATCGCCCCAAGGTACAAGTGTACAGATTTGTTTTTGCTAATATACTGCCGTTTATCGTCAGCACAATAAATCAAGTTGTAAACTTCATACTTTACACAATTGTTCAAACTGAAAATAATCATCTGCACAGTTAGATCATAGCTCTATGGTTAGATACACTGTACCCCAGTACACGTACATGTACAACGATTGCCAGAATATCACACATTCTGGGTGCACATTCCCCTTGTGACTCAACCTGGACCTTAACACATAGTCCAATGATCTCACATTCTGTTCACAGGTAAATATCATCATAATTTCCCTCTCAACTCCTGAATATTCAATGTTCCCGGCCATCAGATCTGCCCAACAACAGGGCCAGTCAACCAACCGGGAACCAGCTGCTGTCTGCCTAGCAACAGGGAGCCAGTAGGGCTGTCCAATCAGCGGGCAGTAGCTAAGTGGGAAAGTTTTCCATTTGCATATCCCTTGCACTAGTTCCATGGGACAGCAACAGAGCTTTCATGTATACGTGTACTATACTGTACATGTACTGTACATATACTGTACATGTACATGTACATATACTGTACATGTACATGTACATGTATGCATACTAGTGCCAATGCATGCCTGCACTCCTTGTAGTTTGAATGCAAAATTCAGTGTAATTCCTTTATGGCTGTAGTACATTAACCCGAACAGTCCCTGAATGATACAAAGTACTACTTAGTAGTAAAATGTAGTACTCAGCACTGTCACTTATAAGAGGACCTGACTTTATTGTTCTGTGAAGCCATAAAATACAACAGAGAAAACAATGTACCACACGGTGCTGTGGCACTATGAATGCATAGTTTCATTGTTCTCTGTACGAGTAACAATGGAATAAACCTAGCCAGAAATAGTAATTTGAAGTGCTGGGTCCTTCAGGCTAAGAGTGTTTCATAGTATTTTGTAGTACTGAGTACTCTAAGCCAAACAACGCCCGGTGCTGTTAGGGTTAACAGGATAGGTACCGTATTTACTGGAACTGCAAAGCGATACACATCTAGCATGAGTACCACCAGTTAGTCCAGAAAACAAGAAATATTCAAAATCTGTATCAAAAAAAAATAACAACCTTTGTATGGAACGTGTACTGTACATGTACTGGCACACGGTCAAAAGTTGCATTATGCACGTCAAAGTACATGTGCATGTAAGTCTATGAGTAATGCTTTGCGTAGACAAAATACCTTCACACAAGGACCCATCCACAATACACTGAAGTACTGAAGCAGAAATGCCAACATGATTGTTACCCTGGGTACATGTACTTACTTAGGCCTACATGTACATGTACCTTCATACCGACACCACACTACTCACCCCTCCCCTTTTTCACACACAATCTGCAGGACTTCAACAATTACAGTGTATTTTTTGGGCTACTGAAAGAGTTACAAAGTATAAATTTGCAGGCTACTGTTTGACAGCTGCCTGTACTTTTGGCCCTTTTTGCAAAGCTTTAGAGGTAGTAAGTGCATTTAGGTGTAGTCAGTCTTGCTCGATCCAGAAAAATAAAACATCCTTCACGTTTACATGCCAACATTTAGTAACTATGGCATTTTCTAAAGTCATTATCCTTAAACAAATGCAACTTACGAACAGCAAAACCTTGATCAGGAACCAAAACACTTTTTGTACAAGCATGTGTTCACTTGAAGAACAGTGACCTTTAAACACCAAGATCGCTGACGATACACATTTATTTTTTGTATACTTTCGAAGTACAAATGTGATCCAGTCACTTTGCTTTGGGAAGTGGATGATGACAAAGTGCCCTTGCTGCCCAAAAGCTGTGAATGACAAAAGTGTAGATATTCTTTCTTTGATTATTTTTTTTTTCTCAAACAAGAGAAACTGCTTTTAATTTTTAAAATGTGCGCTCCCGTGTGTATATTGCAAATGTTTGATTTTTTTTGTTCAGTCCTCTCTAAAATTCCAACATATTACGCAGGAATTGCACACAGGTGTTTCCTGTTTATGAGCGTCCCTAAACGTTTCTCAGAAGCTGGCAGTGGATAAAGGTGGCACGTTTTCTCCGAAAATCGGCAAGCGGTGCTGCGGTTAAGGTTGATGACCCTCAATCAGATGGCACGAGGTTCAAATCCAGCAGCTGGTTTCGTATTGCAAGCTTGGACAAATCACTCACAGTATCCAAGCTTCTCCCCTCCCCCTGGCCCCTCTGGAGATTAAATGGGTACCCGGGGGGAGGGGAATTCACTGTACCAGTATGCGTTCCCCGTAATGAACCAGTTTGGAATTCCAACAGCACATGCTCAGAATGAGGCTCTTCAGCAACACCTACACGCCCGCGATAGTGTGTCCTATCGGCGCAGCCATACGCTGGCTCACTCACGCGCTTTGTTTGCCCAAGACCTTGGCTCTTTCAAATATGGAACAGTCTCATTGGCTGCTAAACACATGTACAAGAAAAAGGAAAGTTCTGCAAAGTATTTTGGAACTGTAGGAACAGTGAAAGGTGGCACAAGCACAAATGGTGATTATTGTAAACGATTGATCCTAATATTGCCCAGTGTTGGTGCAGGCTGCTAAGCTTTGCAGAAATATCGCCCTTGTTTGGTGTAAGATTTTTACCACAATATTTGCCCAGTTACTTTGAAAGAGCGTCATTATTACATATGTTCAGAGTAGTTATGTACAGTCAAACCTCATTAATAAGAGGTCCTTTGGACTTGGCAAATTACCTTGTTATAACAGGAAACTTGTATTCTCAGGAATGAAAACAATGTGAAACAAAGGATTGGGGCCTAAAATGTCCTTGTCTTGCGCAGAATCTTGTATTGACAGAGCTCTTATTAACGAGGTTCGGCTGTACATGTACAGACTGATAGAAGTGTTTATTTCTGTTTACTTTATATGTACATGTAGCTGAATGAGATCTGTTAACACTTGCAGGGTACCGGGGGGGGTTAGAAAATTATTCAGGCGCATTTGTACTGACGGCCAACCACAGTTCTACTAGCCACTGGTAACCAAAGCTATGCAATGTGGCAGAAGCAGAGATTACATGGGCATACCCCTACATGTAATTTCTTTAATCCCAGTGCGCGTGATGCCTGCCGGATCTGGCCAGGCTGGGCCAGGGGTTGCATGGAGACAATCCCCGGATATTGATAAATTAAGAACATTTTTCCTGCAGCTCGCAAACGACAGACCCGACGGCCGCCCAATAATAAAAGCTCTGAAAATAGGAAATTATCCATTACTCGCCCAATTTGGACCCAGGCAGACAGTGTCTACGCACTATATGTATAAGGGCTTGGACAAACAAGACATGTCAGGCTGGTGATAATGCTGTATATCGAGTGATGACTCAATATTCTTCTTTGACTTCCCTTGTCAAGACCTTTCTGGTGGAGTTCCCTTTTGCGTCTAATAAAAACCATACCTTTT